TATATATTGTTTTTTAGAGGACAGATAGGGCTACATATTTATATCACATATGTGTGTCTAACGCCTCACTTAGGACAAATAAAATATAACAAAAGAGAAAAAAAAACGTAAAAAAAACCACTTTTTTCCCAGTTTTGATTTGTAGTATTTTTTTACAACACCAGCACAGCTAAAAAAAGTGTCCGCTTTGCTTTGACTCTCAGAAACCCAATATTAAGGTATCGGGTGTCTGAAAAAGGTTAACCCTTTCATTAATGAATGCCTCTGTAGTAAGGGCATCTATTAATGAATGTTAAAAGCTGATTCTCAGCGTTTAACAGCCCTCTAAAGAAGCAAATAACTCGTCACGTACAGTGTACGTGACAAGTCATTTGGTCCCTTTGTGGCTGGACGTACAGTGTACGTCTCCCGTCACGAAGGGGTTAAATGAATTGGAGTTACATTATGTTGGTTTTATTTACGTTTTAAACTTCATGACTGTGTATCAGATTCTTGCCTGATAAACTGGAGAGGATGAACATTTCAGGTGAATTTGAAGCTGTTTTTGTGTTTAGTTGTGCTGCTGTGGAGCTTGAGAGTGGTAGGACGAAGAAGAACAGCATGGGGTAATTGCTGTTGGTACAAGTGATTATCTGGAGAGTTAATGATTGGGAGATCGTAATACAAGCATGTATAGACCTTCAGAAGTAGTGTTGAATCTGATGAGTATTTTTTGTGTAATTGAAAGTGCAGCTGTAGGAGTTCTATTATTATTTTTATTGGTGTGAGCCTTTGGGGATTTCCCCACAAGCCTTTTTGGTAGGTCACGCTCTTTCTTTCCTTCCTTCACTTGGGGGTAGAACACCAGCAACAGGTCTCTCTGGACTGTCACTGATTCATACTTCCCCTGTTCGACCCCCTCTCAAACCATAGGATTTTAATCTAGTATTGTTGGTACTACAAAGACCCCAATTTAACCTGTTTATTGGGGTCATTGAGTTTGTAATCCCAGAGATAGCCTTTCTTTATAATATAATGGTTACAATATACTTATCCTTGTGTTAAAGTTTTGTGAATTGAGCCTATAAAAATAACTTTCTGTTTTAAAAACACAATGCTGTATTTGACCATAATATAATGGAGGGTACCTGGTTCCTGTTAGCCTCCACACTAGAACATGACTGGTAATACTGAATGAAAATAAATGAAATGTTTTAATTTATAGCATTCATTTAGATTGGTGTAACAAACTCCACAATAACATTGCACTATATGGATCAATTTCTTTTTACTTTTAATATAAAGAACACATTGAACCAATAAATAACCATTAAATAAAAAGTATGTGTTTAGATTGAGGAATGAGAAAAGAACACATGGATGGAACCTATGCATACAAAACACACAGAGCATACACATTCCATGTTGATTGTGCCTTTAGTGAGCATTGAAAACCAAACTCCAACACTCCAGGACTACGGTCTTAATTAATAATGTATTTCTTATGGTGTCCTAAACCTGTCCAACCCACAGTGTGAGCTAAGGCATTCTTTATTCAAAGATGAAATGTTATACAGTTCATAAGTGTTTGAGTGTATTGAATTTCCATGTTATAGCAAGCAATAATTAATTAGTCTGTCGTATTTAATACATTTTTTTAAATGTGTGCTAATGTATGTTGTACTTATACCATTCAACATGATGTAGTCAGTGACAGTCAGTGGGAGTGTACAGTTGTAATTTTATAAGCAGGGGGTAATCATCCAACATTTTCACTACACTCTTTTTCGTAATAAGGATTACACTATATTGAAGAAATGTATGTGCGATTTGCATTGAAGTCCTCTCACCACCTCAGCTATTACTTTTCACACAGGTTTAAACTAGAACTCTAGCACCATTGGAATTTGACAGATAGACTGGTATGATCTTATGGTAAAGAATATGAGCATCTAGATCACTGTTTGTAAGCATCTATGTCATTGGCTGTCAACTTCCTTGAAGAAGAAGAAGACCTTGCCTTCATCAAACATAATATTCAGTGAATGTAATGCTACAAAAAGCTCTCAGAGACTGCAGACATGCAGCAGGAGATGGTCAGAGAAATACGGGATTGCTACAGGAAATGGTTAGAGAACATAGACATGCTACAGGAGATTGTCAAAACTATGCAAATATGTTGTAAGAGTTGGTTTCAATTAATTACATACTTTAGTAGAGAGACACATTACATGAGCCTGCTAGAGATCACTGCTATCACAGCCCTTTTTCAAAAAATTGTATCAGTCATTTTTGCCCTGTTCCTCCTCTATATTTTCAGTACAAGAACACTAGTCATCTGATATGAAATTGCAGCTTATTTATTATAAAATGACTATAGGTATACTGTATGTTAATACCTACCATTACTGTAGGAATCACTGTGTGTACCTACAGGGAGAGGACAGTGTGAAGGATCAGTCTACCCAAAGCTAATATCATAGATTTGTGTAAATGCTGATGAGCTGAATCACAACCAAGAGATCTCTACAATGGTTTTTGGGTTTACCCATACCATATTTATATTGCAAGCAAGTCTCTCTTTTTTATTGCAAAATTAGAAATCAGGTGAAGCATTTAGAGTCCTGCTACAACGGGAGGAATGACAAGTCCATTTTGATGAAAGGACTGGAAGGGCTTTTGCCTTGAGTTCACATGCATTGTGAAATGGAGTAAAGAGGTGAATGGGGCTATACTTCAAGAGTCTTCAGTCTTGGAGAGTTAATTGTGTAGGTGTGACTGGGGCTGAAGCAGATTTTCAGTCAGAGGAGGTAAACTTAAAAAGAGGCCGCAGCTGTCATGCTGAATTAACTAGGCAGCTGGGTGGTGGGTTTTTAGGTGAGGTTAGGTTTGGGGCCTAGGGAGGATAGACTAGTTTTTAGTAAAGGTGAGCGTGTCATTTTAAAGAACAACTCAGGGCAAAGAGTAAAATCAATCAGTGACTTCTAATGCTATCTCAGAAAAATGCAAGAGTTCTAAACTCCATTTAGTTTACCTACAATGTACATTTGATTACATCTACTGCATACTTGATATTGCAAGACCCTCACATGTGCTGCTAGGTGGGATTGCAGCTTCTTGTCATTATAATAAATAAGAGTTTAAGTGTGTGTAATCCCTGGTAAATATACTTTTGAAAGTGTTTTGTTATATTTGTTTGGCAAGTGCAAAAAAAAAAGATAATTTCTGAAATTCAGGGGAGGGCTGTGCCATGTTGTAGAGATGAAGAGAGTGGGAGGGATTAAATAGTTTAGCAAAAGACAACTGGGCAAGGCTGACACCACAGAAACGCTGTGTGGTGTCAGACCCCAATAGGAAATTTTAAGTTGAGTGGTTTTCTGGCAGACCAATTAGTATTTTACTGTACTTGTGGGGTCTTAAACATGGGGAAATGTGCATGTGTTGCAGATCTGTACTGCATATTTTTTATATTGCTCTGACATCCACATTCCACCAAAAACACTTTTTTATTGCCTTCATTATTTGCTTCATTTTCCTCTACAGTAAACCCCAATTGTTAGCTACAATTATTATCAATTAGTTGAAATATCACAGCTGTTCATGCTTAACCATACAACTTACTAAAGTAGAGAATGAATGCAACTGATCAAGGCAGCCTTGTGATCTCAATCATTGACATTTTGAACCATATGGCTCAGGTGGCATCAAAAGAAGAAATTGTAGAATATGGGGCTTTAAATATAGCACTTGAAATATATATACACATCTTAGAGACAAATATATATATTGAACAATATTACACACTTTTGCTTGCTATTTTTAAAGTTCCCTTTTGTACAATTACCTCTTTTGATGTAATTTTGGCATGATAGTGCTCTAAGTATATTGGAAACTCTGTGTCACTCCAACTGTTAGTCACTGTACTGGCTCACTGCAAATTCTTATTTCCATTTCTCTCTCAGTTTAAGAGATAGCAAGATAGGTGGATTCAAAGGGTAGGCTTGAGAAGTGGGTCTGCACAGAGACAGAACCTAGCAGATGGTCTTACAAGAATACCACATTAACAGTAGTTTTAAAAAGTGGAGTGGCCTGGGGGACCCTATGAAGGCGGCCATACACTGTACAACCATCGCAAGACCTTAGTCTTGCGATGGTTGTAAAGTGATTAAAAAACATATGATCTGCCCATTTTGGGCAGGCAGATCGTACTCTCGATCATCGCAAGCCCGCCCCCCTGAGGGGCGGGCTTCCGATGACCGCAATGCTGAACGGGCAGTGTGCACGTGCGCACACCGGCCCGTTCGGCATTTGTCTCCCAAGCACCGTTCAAACCAGCCGAAAATCGTACGATTCTCGTCTGGTTTTCTAGCATGCTCCTTAGACAAAAGACGTGCGACTGTACAGTAGAAACGGTCGCACGTCTTCGTTCACACTGCTCGATTCTCGTACGATCGCGGGATTTCCCGCGATTCTCGTACGAGAATCGAGCAGTGTATGGGCATCTTGAGAAGCTTCACATTGGCTGTGGTCCTTAATTGCAGTCAAGGATTTTAACCCCTGTTGGGTTTTACTGCTTTCTGGTGCTCAGAATGATTTGCCTTCATTTACTGTCACTGTGACAATGGTTTCACCAGGAAGTAAATTAGGGTAAATCTCCAGCAGCGACTCTGATTTTTTTTTTAGTGGTGTGGAGGATAGCTAGCACCACTGTCTATGTCCCTGTTGTAGATTTTCCTTCATTTTGTGCCTCATAAAACCATTGTCACTGTGACAGTAATGAGAAATCTCTCTAGCAGAGTCGTGGATTGCAGAGGCTCTTATCCTACCCCGCTCTATTCAAAGCTAGAACATTTGACTGCACATACACTTTCATTTTCAATTTGACTGGGGTGTACATTTCATAGGAAAATATTTACTATCTGCTAACTCATAAACATCATAAACATGAAAAGGTGACTGCTACAATTAAGATTTTGGTGCAGTCTGTGAAGATAACCAGTGTCCTTTTCTTTTTCCTGTAGGATCATGCTGATATTGAATGGAAGTTTGCCAGGACTAAACTGTGGATGAGTTATTTTGATGAAGGTGGCACTCTGCCACCCCCGTTTAACATCATTGCAAGCCCAAAGTCTGTTTGGTACCTTTGCAAGTGGATCCACTATAAGTTGTGTCCACATAAAAAACGTGAAGAGGAACTTCAGAAACAGCACGAGAACCTAAAGACCTTTACGGTAAAACCTTATAAATGAAATTTTCTTCTCTTTACAAATTATTAAGTGCAGTCTCCTTGATGTTAAGCAGCAGAGACTCAGTTTTCAGTAGCCTAAAGTTCTGCCCACTGGAGATTCAGCTGGGGATCATGCAAAAGATTTTTGCAGAGACATTACGCTGGTACATGCATAATTAATATATTAAGTTTTTATTGCAGGAGAGGCACGCTGACAACCTGATTCAGAATCAGCACTACCAGGTAAGATGCCTTCTTGCAATAACAGCCTTGATAAAGGTGTGACTTGAAACAGTTAATGTCGAGCTGGAAGAATAGTCCTTACTTTACAGCACATTCTGTGATAAGCTCCAGCAATGACATTATAAAATATGTATGACTTTTCTGCAAATGTTGGCTAGTCATTTTTTTAGCATTTGTTTCTCCTTAACGTGAATCTGTCAGAATAGAAATATGGGAGCTGCCAATGTTGACTATTCTGTTCATGATATGGAGCGGTCATGCTTATGCTTGTTCTAGAACAACTATGTCCATTTTAGTTTTCCTTACATATTTGACTCATCCACAAATGAATGCATGATAAGGTGTCAGTCATTGACCTTGCTTATTCAAAAACAAAAACAGCAGTGGTAGCTTTAATATCTACAGGACAATCAGAAGATTTCAGCTGCCTGAAGATTGCATTACTGAATGAATCTACCTTGATACTTTAAAGGGAGCCCTATGACATCACCATGGATGGAGCCCTATGACATCACCATGGAGACCTTCACAAAAAAAGGAAGTTTCCAAAAATAAAAAAACATTTTTTTGTTTCTTTTTTTCTTTGTGCTCCAACCTGTCCCCTGCTAACATTCTCGCCTAGGCAAGATTGACGTCTTCTCTGCTGATTCTGGGATATCTACATCAGTTATGCCAGTGGGCATCAGCTTAAAGGAGAACTATGGGGTCAGGGCTTTTCCCCATAGTTCTCCTTAGGGTAACGGGAGGACACAAACTAGCGTCCTCTCGTCACCCTAAGCTCAGTATACCGCGAGCTACAGCTCGCGGTATACTGAGACGCCGCAGCCGGAGCGGATCCCGACATCGATGTCGAGATCTGCCCAGCTGCGAGAGTGACAGCTGGCTCTGCCTATCTAGAGGCAGAGCCAGCTGTACCCGCCCCTCTCTCCCGTCCGTTCCGCCAGTCAGCGATGGTGGATCGGAGCGGGGAGGGGGGAATCCATCCCCTCCCCTGTCACGGCAGAGAGCCGTGACAGGATCGAGAAGTGAGCGAACACCGGCATGTGTTCGCTCACCTCCCGATCTACTGAGCCGACCTGTGACAATCTCATTGTCACAGGTTGGCTAGAACTATGAGGTGAGTGAAAAGCACTCACCTCATAGTTCTACTTTAAGGAGGGAAGACCTGGCATGAATTATTTGGTTGCTGGCTTCAAGAACATGACAGAGACAGCCAGCTCCCGATGACATCAGAAAGAAAGATGGCGGGGTGGGACCCAGTGTGCAGTGAAGGAGAAAAAGATTAGAGAAGGACAATGCTAGATCTGCTGGGGTGTCAATATTTTTATTAGCAACAACCCAGCATAAAAGGTAAGAGGGGGTAAATTAAACTGGGGTGCCGAGAGGGGGTGGAGTTCCTCTTCGACTACTCACATTATTATTTTTTATTCAGTGAGTGTATTATTTAATTAGTAAATGATTATTTCCTATTGGTTGATATGAATTACCATCTGCATGACACCTATCTTATTTTACTTCAATAAATAAGTCAATATGAGGGTTATAAAATAAAGAAATCTATGGTTTACAATGCTCTTGAATCTGCAATTTGTTTTGTAATATATTTTACTTTTTGTATTATACAACCTAAATTAGCAAACCAATTAATTTGAATCTATGTGAGCCCCCACATATGCACATGCAATATTTCTGAACAGTTCTAAACTTATGCCATTATCCTTAGACTGTTACGTAAACCATTAGATGATGGTAATGTTAAAGCTTAGCAACATTTTAGTATTTTGTCCCTGTAGGACAGCCCCTTTGAATAACTAAAAGCTCTTACCCTTATCCACAGCCAACATTTCTTTTTTCTGTTCTGTCGCCAAAGTGATTAGACCCTTCAAGATTGTTGAAGAAACTCCTACGAGCACCCACAGGGGTACATCCTATCCTGTTTTGATGGCCCAGGTGTCATTCCTAAATGGATGTTATCTGGGGCTCCCACTAGCAGGGTACTATATTGCTCACACAAATTGCTGCACTTTGAATGGCAGGATGTGGAGATTTTTATTTCCACTAGCTTTCATCAGGTTCTTCAGAAGATCCAGCTCAAGAAGGTGGACGTGATTGCAAGTCTTCTGTTTTGTCCTTGCAAACCATTATTTCTACCATTGTGAAGGATAAAAATGTTGGATCCTTGGCTGCTTCCTCCTGTGAAAGACCTTCAGATCCAGGGGAAGTTTGCCCATCCTTGCCCTGGGAAATTAAAATTGCCAACCCGGAGAATGAGCTGTAGGTAGAAAAGTGTCAACTAACATCACTTACTTGTGGGGGAAATTTATTGGATACACTTTGGATCCATTCAGGCATATAAAACCATTAGATTTCTAGAGTCTAGATTTCAGCTCTCCCCCCACTATGCATAAATTATGGGCAATGGATCCTTTGGTGGTTCAGTTCCTGAGAGCCTTTTTGAAACCAAACTTTAAAAGTTAAGCCAAACTTTCCAAAGTGGGATCTCTTTTTTGGTTCTCAAAGTTTGAATGCAGGCACAATTGAAGCCGTGTAACACATCAAGATTAGGTGATACTGATGCCGTCCTTAGAACCAAGTAATATCTAAATTTAATTCAACTATAGAATGGTCTCTCCAATTTTCCCCCCGACCCTAAAACAGAGCATTGATGGCACACATTGGATCTGGGACATCTAATCCCAAGTTACCTGGAAAAGACAATCAGAGGATATGACAGGTTCTTTATCCTGCCAGCGGGTTCAAAGAAAGATCAGCCAGCCTCAAGAAGGACCATTGCATTGTGGCTTCTTTAAACACTCAGGCTGGCCTACAGTGTTCTAGGCATGGCTCCTCCAGACTATCTTGAGGCATGTTTTATGAAAGACAATATCCTGGGATTCAGCAGTGCATGTCCCAGCAGAGATCATTTGCAAAGCAGTCAGTTGGTCTTCTCAGATCACTTTTGTGAGCCATTACTAGTTGGATGTGGCTGTGGCTTCTCATTCCAATTTTGGGGCTAAAGTCTAAATGCTGCTTTTTTCTCATGTTTAGTAAAATTGTTCCTCAACAGCACCCACTGTCTTGTTATTTATTGCTATGCAGTTCCCAGTGAGGGAATGATGGGGCACATGGAACAAAATGAACAATGGAAAAATGCTTTTAGATGTTTACCAAAATGTTATTTTCTTTGCATCTCACCTTGTCAGCTCTATTTCCCTCACAGGTAGTTTGAAATGTTGGACTGTGTTATTGGAACATGAACTGTGTATGAGGGTAAAAGCTATTCAAAGGGGCTTTCCTTGCATTTTACTAGGGGCAATCCACCAATGCCTTGGCTGCTTTTTTCTTCCATTGCTGTGTGTTGGCATCTCATTGTATATGAATCAATTGCCTTAATGCAATGCCTATTTACATGCACAATATTGAATTTTAACATGTTTGCAGTAACGCAATACAACAGACCACAGATATTGTAAAACATGTAAAAAAAAAGGGAGAAAAATATATTTTGGCCTTTGTCTTTGACTTCTAACTGCTAAACACTTTTACGAAGAATACAGAGAATAAAAAAATGTGTTGATATAATACTTTGGTGCTATAAAATGTTGTTTATGATGCAGGAAAAATATAGGACAATAGCTAAAGTACAAGTACTGCCTGTACTAGGTAAGCACAGTTGGGATTTTGTGTGTTTGGATTTCACTTACAAAACAGTATGAAAATGTTCATGTTTTCTCCCTCTGGGCTTCTTATTCTATTCTCATTTGGCTGTTAGATAATGCAGGAAAACATTGGAACATGTTGTAAAGCAATGTATAAGGGTTTTATAATGCTACTGTAGATATATTTGTTCAGAAGTGGACTTCTAGTGCAAAAGAGCAGTAGTGTCAGCTAAGCATCCCTGGGTGATCTAGATACCCTGCGAACCTAAAAATTTGCCGGGGAAACAGTTTCTTTATTAAATTATGGGTATGACTGCAATTTTTAGAGCTGTGGTTCAAAATTTACAGGTCTTTATGTAAGGATTAAATTATAGAAGTATGATCATCAAACACACAACACATACTTGGCATGACACTCCCACAGAATATAGAACTGGATTAAATTGTGTTTTATATCATGTAAAGCAAAAAAATACAAGTAATTTCTTCTCTTCAGGTAAATTTGAACTACATTGGCATATATAAAAGCAAATTATGTTTTCATTGAATTTTTATTGCATAACCTTTTTACACATTTCACAATTTCTTTTTCATTGTAGGAAGTTATTAGAAATTTGGTGAAACGATACGTGGCAGCAATGATCAGAAATTCAAAGACCAATGAAGGACTGACAGAGGAAAACTTTAAGGTATGACATGTAGCCAAGCAAGTGGACATAAGCTTTGTGGTTAAAGAATCTAAGTGGCTTCATTATGATGTCTCTGAAAAGTGATTGGGTTGTCCCTAGAAACTAGCACTATTTTGTCCTTATAAGGGGGATCTGATTGGTTTCTATAGGCTACACAGGCAGTCTCTTTTTACTGTTATATGTGAGGCTCAGTGTATTTATCTAGTTAATAGGGCACAATGCATAGAAAGCACTTTTTAGAGTTGGGCTTAGTACCTGCTGGCACTGCTAAAGGCTATTTGTAACTATATTGTTACATGAGAGCAGCCATGTTTGCTTTATTAAAGCACTGCTTCCAAGTTTGTAGTGCTACACAGGTTGTGCTGTACTTTTAAAAAAATTATTATTATTATACAGGATTTATATAGCGCCAACAATTTGCTCAGCGCTTTACAAAATAGTGAAGACAGTACATTTACAACACAATGTACAATACAGTTTTAGAACAATAGGTTTGGGAGGGCCCTGCTCGTAAGAGCTTACAATCTAGTAGTCTTTACTGCTTCTTCTTACAATGCAAGTCTATAAGTTGATTTACTAAAGGCATATAGGCTGTTCACTTTGCAAGGGAATTTTTCCTTAGCTTAGTGAATGAGGTGAAGCTCTGCTGACTTCTATCATCCAATCATAAATCATGTGCAAGCATTTTTTTTCCCTTTGCACATGTTTGGGTATTCTCTGCAAGGTGAATTTTCGCGGCATTCACTAAACTAAGGGAAAACGTCATATGAATGCATATGAATTGGGTGTCTCAATGAAAACAATGACATTCTTGCATAACTGATATTGTATAGGTGTTATAAAGAAAGGCAGGGTAATAGCGAACTGATTAAAAAAAAATAATACTTGAATATGCACCATTTCTTTGCATTTTGTTCAAGCTTCCTACATGTAATGCTCTTTGAGCTAACATTTACATTCAAAGATGAAAATTCACATACAGTATGTACTGGGGCTTAGACAGTCAGACCTATGTAGATGATTTCTAGTTTTCAGCTTCCGAATGAGGATGGAGAATTATTAATTATGGCATTGAGGCCTGAGTGCTTTTGCACTTACCTCAGATGATATATGCAGTATCCATTGATGACCCTTTGGACATACTTGCCTGCTCTGGAGAACACTGAAGATGTATGTTTTTGGAAAGCCCAGGCCCTGCGAGTGTAGGTAACATATTGTCATTTACTGTGTCGGGCACCATACTGAACTAAGATTGCTGACAACATTAGTAAATTATAGCACCAGATTAAAAAAATCTAATTTATGTTCCATGTTTGCAAACTCTTCTATACTAACAGTGTGTCAGGTTCCATCAATTTTGAATACCCTTTATACACACAGGTGGGCAATCATTTTTTTTATGGCGTACACACATCCTATTTGTTAGGCAGTTTACATTTTACAGTGCTATATGGGGATTTATTAGAAAACAAGTGTAATATATTCAAAATAAATTGCAGACACTTTTATATTTTTATTCTGGAAAAAAGTAAAAGAGAGAAAAGGTGAAAGTCTGACACACACAAAGACATTTTTGTCATTTTGACAATGCAAATATAATAGTGGGGCAATTATTAATCTGCAATCTGAAGTGAAACATTTTAGCTGGTATATACCTGTATGTTGTGTCAAACCTAATAAAGGTTAATCATCACCTAAGACAGTCAGACACACAAATCCCACAGGAAGCAATTCATCCTCTTCACTGCTGGCCTTCTCACCTCAACCTTACTGATAAAAGTATCATGCCGCTTTGAAATCTGCTATTTCCTCTCTGTTTATCCTAAGTTCAGCAAATGATTATATCGAGTTTGGCTAATGAGCGTATGTGTACAGTATACGCATAGATACACACACTTGATATTGTAAGGGCGTGTTCTGGTGGTCTGCATTAGTCTTTAGGTAAAACAGAACTGCATCAAGATGCTACAGAAGACGCTTTAATTACATCTACTTTTATTTTTCTTTCATTAGCAATTTGAATCAAGTATGCAATTAGAAACATTGCTTACTGGCACCCACACATAAATATCATGAAAAAAATTCTGCATACAAAAATTTACAACAGAGATTGAATATGTGGTCAAAGTCTTCTCAATACTCTCAAGTGATATTAGATGGTGGCACTGTTAACACAAAATATGGGGATACTATGTTGAGATTGTCGAGAATTTTTATGTCAGTGTGTTGGAAGTCATAAGCCTAATAACTTAAATCTGATCAGCTTTCCCAGATCCAAGCAATTCATGAGAATCAATACCAAATTATACTATGTGATTTTATAAATTACATGATCAGGTTGAAAAAAGCCTGTTGATGCAGAATGCAGCTGTAAAACCTTCTGAAGTATGGTCTAATTAGCTCCAAAAGAGAAATAATTTGTTCCTAAAAGCAATTTGATACTCCATGGATCAACATTCGAAAGTTCTATTTCTTAAATCTACTTATATACAGTCTATATGAAGAGCATTTAGTTCCTCTTTAAAAATGAACAACAGGCAGATATAAAAGGCACAAATTAATGCAGCTCTGTATTGGTTAATACATCTTTAAATGTATTCTCTTAAATGCAAGAAGTATAAGTACATGCATTTGAGTTGGTGTCAGCCTCTTGCAATCCCCTGTGCAGGAGAACTTAGATTGGGGTGGGATAAACAGCACAAGGAGCCAGTCAGTTTTGCTGCAGTACCAGGTTTAGTTTGTTTAACAGTTATGCATAGTAGGTTAAAGCTATTAACAAATAAATCATGTTACGAGAATGATATGTAATAGTTTACATCAATATATATATAGAGGTCTATTTAGTCATTTAAAAATATTGTTTATTTCATACATAAATCAACATATATACAAAACCAGTTTAAAATTCACTAAAACACAATTCCCCCCCCCTTTTTTTCTTTATATGTGGGGGTACATTGCCCATTAGCACTACCCTCAATACATTGCCACAGTAGTGGTAAAATTTCCCGATATTCCCCTGAAGAAGCTAATGCGAAACACGTTGGGATAATGAAACTACATACCTTTGGAGAAATTATACAATGAATTGTAACTATATGGTTATGCAAATGTAAATCAATTAAGATACTGTGATAATGAATTTGCGGTAGTGTTAATAGGCAATGTACCTACACATAAAAAGAAAAAAAGTTTTTGTGAATTTTAAACTGATTTTGTATACAAGTTTCATTTTAAGATGTTTGAAATAAACAATATTTTAAATGACTAAAATTAGACGTATGTTCCATATATAAAACCCATGATACACATTTTTTTTTCCGATTAAAAAGATACTGCAGGATCTATATAGGAGCTATTTGTTTGTCACCAAAATATAACTTTGGAGCATCTGCTGTTCAGCTGCACTTTTACCAATGCTTGCAGCAGCTTTTCATAGCGTTGGAGGCATAATATGTGCAAATTGTTCTGTACAAGGAGCTCTCGCGAGGATGCTGTCTAAATAAAATTTCACAGGCATCCCAAGAGAAATCACAAGACTGTCTTCACAACAAATTTCTATTGTGTGTATGTATGTTTGTAATCTTGAAGCCAGCCAGCTCCTTGGAAAATGGCTAACTATGAATAAGATTCCAATAATTAATGAAGTCCATGTCTGTGTTTCAGAGGACGTTTCTCTGTGAAAACGGTAAACTGTGAGAGATTTTTAAATTCTCACTCAAACTATGTGCCCTTGGGATTTAGTTCAGCATCTCATCCCATCCCATCCCACTTTAGCCTGTGTATAGACAGGCCAAGGTGGAGAAGTGGGTACAACCACTGAGCCAACCCAGAGATGAACATTTCAGCAAGGCCACACGCTGCTCAAATCTCAGCTGACTCAGCAGGGCTTGGCTGAAATTTGAGCAGTGTATGGCAGCATTTGAAGAGAGTGTTTTCACAACTTCCATCATGGTCTTTTACAACCAGTATCTTCCTCAATGTATTTCACGACACCATGGTATTGGATTTAGCCAACAAGAAAGGCCTAGAAAGCTGGATCCTGTTAAGCCAGTTAAGCATCATTATTGAAAAATGTGATCAGCTCTCAAAAGGTCAGAAATGTTAGATTTTAATACAGCCAAGCTAAAAACAAATATGGCAACCACACAATTTTTAAGTAGCCTTTATAGCATGGTACACATGGAAGGGCTTATAACAATACAAGACACAGAAATTTCCCTGCACACTTACCAACTAGCCTGCAACACAACAAATCACACTGTCTAATAATATCCGGTAAAAACAGAAGTTTTGGTTTCACAACTAGATTTTTATACAGTTTAACTCCTAAACAAACAAACATAAAAAAGAATATGACTCTGTGCTGTATACAGTCAGTGAACAAATTATGACCCATTGCTGAGTTATTGAAGCAGCTTTATCGTTACCTATCTGTTTGTTGCAGGAATTGAAACAGGATATCTCCAGCTTCCGTTATGAGGTGCTTGATCTTCTGGGAAACAGGAAACCTCCAAGGAGAAGCTATTCCACCAGCAGTACAGAGGTATCACAGAAGGAAGATGCAACAGAAGAGAGACCTAAGTCAAAGAGTGTTTCTTTTAATGTAGCCAACAAAAAAAAGGATTTCAATGTCTCGGCTCTTATTAAAACTGTGTCTGGGACTGAAATCATAGATAATGCACCCAAAAGCAATGGCATTAGCAAGCGTTCCTTCATCCGTAATGGAAACAAGCTCCAAAGGCTTTCAAGTTCCAAAAAGGAATCTTTTAAAAGACTGGGTTTACTTTTCTCTAAAATGAATGGACATATGCCAACACCACCAACTGAACCAGTATACTCTATTTCTGATGGACTTATTCAGCCTCACTGCATGTGGCAGGACGCAAAATGTAGCGAGCAAGAGCCAGAGTGCTCTAAAATTGAAATTAACCTCAATGAGGTGAGTCAAGATGGGAGCATTGGTGGTCAAAGTCATGATCATTCTCCGATCTGTTCCAACTCCCTACACTGTGCTTCCGACCTCTGCTCTTCTAATACAAAGCTAATAGACTCATCAGAGGATGTGTTTGACTCGTGGGGCGAAGCATGTGACCTGCTCATGAACAAGTGGAAAGAGGGGCAGGAGGAGCAACAGGTCACAACAAGACTATAAAATATTTAGAACTGCTGTAATATTTAGCAAAAGATAGATTTGTAACAATTTCCTTTTACAGAACATTAAATAAGGTAGGAATCCCTTCCCATTCGTATAGGTGAGTGTGGAAGCTCATTAACAGCGATCTATTTTGCAATATTTTTTTACCATGTTTGTTTGCTTTTTATATCAAGGCTTACTAAACTGTCTAAGCTTTCATGCCAATCTTTTCAGCATCAGCAAGGCTTTCAGACTATAAAAGAATAGGGGAGTGCCGAGCATGTGCAGGTAACACTTGCTGCACTATGCATCATAAAAGCTTGTTACTGACACACTTCCCCTGCTGTTTGTCCAAAATAATTTTTCCTCTAAAATATCATTGCAGATTTTTGTATTGCAATTTCCACCAGCAGCATGTGGGATTTTGACATGCTTGCACAAACTGTTTATGAAGATAGATATAGATAATTTTAGCATATCTTAGCATTTCATCCCCTTCCAACAATTTTAATTTTAATTTGGACAACTGTTCTAAAGGAAGATTTAACTATACAACATGGCCATATGGCATTTTCATGCATTCTGTAATAGTCTTCGTACAATTAAAACTGCACTCCATAGCTTTATAAAACATAATCAGCAATTAATTATGCACAGGTATAATTTTATGTTTTACTTGATTCAGCAGTTAAGCGAGGATATCCCTAAGAGCATTAACCTACAAAAGAGAACACATTTTTGCAGTTAAAGTTCCAGTCCAACTGAAGCTAATAACTGGTTTAAATTTCCATTGTCTTCTCATGAAATACAGGCACATAAGAGGATAATCTATGATCCAGAATTGTCGTTAGAGCATAAGCTGAACACCAGGCAGATCATATGTATAGTGGTATGCATAGTGGGAGAGGAAAGGGCAGCACTAGGAGCCAATCAAGAGTCCTGCTGACAAGAAACATGTTCACAGAAAAAGGACAGACAGATGAGCTCATCTGTTTTTGCTGCTGCTGCTGCATTGCCCATTTACAGGCCTGGAAGCAGGTGGGTTAAGTAGCTGTATTGCTTAAAGTAGTAATAAACTCTCAAACTTTTTTTCAATAATGAACCCAGATCAAACAAATATACATTGCTCAGCAAAGCATTGCTTTACATTTTTGCCCCAACACTTACAATCATCATGTTTCTGAACAGTTGCTTCCAAGTCTCTCAGTTCAGATTTCGTGAACTTCCTGTACTGTACAAAATCACAAAGAACATTGCAGATTTCAGCCACTTTTCATCTACAAGCTAGGAGAAGGGAGTAGGGGGGAGAGGAAGTAGCTTGATTTGCTGTGTCTTTGTTGAGACACACACAGCTTACTAGTACACACAATGGTGGCTCCGTAGAAGTCTGCTTGAGAAAGGAGTCACTCAAACAAAAAGTCAGAACCAGTGCTCAGGGGACCAGCTGATTCTGCTGGAAACTAAAACTTTTAAACATCAAGGAGCCACATCCATTGTAAGTAATTTCATCAGCACTTGAAATAGATTAAAATCCTTTTACTTTAATATCACTTGAACTACTGTCACTAGGCTGGCTTTGCTGTCTGTTGGGGCTGTGCAAATCTCAGGACAGGAAGGACAGAAATGCAAATCTTTTGGTAGTTAAAACTGTCCCTATAAAATGTATTGCATCTGTGTATTTAGCTGTCTGCCTCATGTGCAGCTTCAACTCAGTGTACATGCCGAGTAATGTGATCTAACTCTCTTTCCAGGATTGCCCATGTTCATGTGATTCAAGGGATTTGTGGAAGATACATTATCAGCTTGATATTTATTAAGATGACATGGGGTTGATTTACTAAAGGCAAACAAGCTGTTCACATTGCAAGGAAATTTAGCTTAGTGAAACTCTGCTGACTTCCATTATCCAATCATCTGCAAGCAAAAATACTGTTTTTTTCTTTACTTGAAAATGATTGGGCAATTTCTAACACATTCGCTATGCTAAGGTAAAATTCCCTTGCAAAGTGAACATCCTACTTGCATTTAGTAAATTAGCCCTCATGAATACCAAATATAATTCATGTTAGTATCAGAAATTAATACATTTGGGGTTTATGGGGAGATATTACAGACACATATAGCTGGCTATAACAGCAGTTAGCGGGTACGCAGTATGAAATAAATGATTTGCACAAACATTTAAAGAAAACTTAGAATTTAGTGAAATATCTCATTCCCCAGTCATACTCCAGGAAACTATAGACACTTCTAGCTAGAAGTTTGTGAATGTCATATACAACTTTATTTATATAAGGCAACTTATTTTTGAAAATAGACATTTAACTGTTTATTTTTGCAGTTTAAAAATCTCAAAAACTCTGGTATCATGTGTGACATTTCTGCTGAATAACTAAAGGAGTTTAGAATCTTTGCTTAATAAAGTGTAGCTGTGCTCACTTTAAAAACCAGTCATGTGCAGATGAAATTCACAGGAATTCGTTTTACACATGATTGGACAATTGAAATTAATCTTCCCTTATTTATTGAGTGAAGATTCTCAACTTCTTTTGTGAATCAGCCTCAACCATCTTGTACTATCTCATAAGCTTGAAAAAGGCATTTGTATTCTTGATATAAATTATGTGAACCTCAGGGGCAAGCACAGAATATCAAGAAGGGTGGTTGTGAAGTTGTTTTTTTTAAATCCAAATCTATTATCTTCATATATAGAATTGGTAAAAAGTGTTATAAAAGTATATTATTCATTCTGTATAGGTATATTATATATGAATATGTACTGCTGTACATATGCAACTAGTCTTAGAAAAATATTTTCTCCCAGCAAAATGCTACTACTTTAAGTATTTGAAGAGCCAACAAATAACAGTTTTCAAACTTTAAAACATACCTTTTCAAAGCGGGTGGCTCAATGCACCGGAGTTTTTATGCTGTACTGTGAAGCTTCAGGAATAATTTATGCTAGGTAAATCATATGTTTGATAATTTACATGACAAAAATGTATTCGCTATGAAAACATTACAATTAGTTATAGCAATTCTATCTCAGGAATGTATCAGAAGACAAGGAAAGGTAAGCACCATTTGAGTAAAAAAATAAGCTTCATTTAATTTTAGCAGTATTACAAAGAGGTTGATTGTAGGGCTTTATACAGTTTTGGCAAAAGGTTATTAAAAAAATTGCAGTACATACAAGCAGTTCTCAGTATTTAAAGTTTGTATACTGGGTTTCCTTAGGGAAATAATTTAGATCAAACTGGTGTTAGACTTACCATATTAAAACAGAGTTAAGGTACATTGTTACTCATCATAATGGAGCCTACACAGTTAAAAAGTTCAAGTGAGAAAAAAATCAAACCACATGGATTTTATTTTACGTCATCTTAAACTAGGGGCATTAAAAAAAGGAGAGCAAAGGAAAATTGAGGGTTTTGCATTTAGTTACAATTGTATCTCTTACACAATCATCACTGGATATTTTCCTTGCATTTTATAGAATTATATGTATACTTTACAAATGATTGAGTACATGGAATTTCTTTGCATGCAAATTTCAGTCTGCCTTGTAAGGCCTGCTTTCCTGTTAAGGTTATCGCATTCAGTTAAACTATAATGTTTAATGCTGATCACCTTGGATTAGACCGAAATAAGCTTTAAAAAAAATAGGAGCCAGTAGCACTAGTTTTAAGCTTGCTGTAGAGTTGCAGTTAGATGTTTGTCAACAAATTGATCTGTCCTCACAAGAAGCACACTTGTTTGCAGTGTTAATGTGAACTGCAAATACTCCACTATTATCTCAGGGGAACAGTCTATTGGATGGAAAAAAATCAAACTAAGCCATTCGACTCTTTCCATTGAGATCTTGTGCCCAATATTGTCTACTGAGATATTAGGCCTCATACCCACAGAGATGCAGATGCGTGCAGAAATCTGTGCCCAGAGGGACATCTGGTGCGTGTAGCCACCTGTACAACTTAATGACACAACATGTTTGCATGCTGACCAGAAAATGCATATCTGTACAGGTACAAATGCACGCCCTTGTGGAGAGACTGTCTACATCCAAGGGTGTGCATCTGTATCTACACAGATGTGCAAGTTCAAAATCGGTGAGTGCAGAAACGTACTGTCATTGAGTTGTACGGACAGTTGCGGCTACATGCACCAGCTGTCTCTCCCTGGCGCAGGTTTCTGCACAGACATGCACGCTGTGCACACCCATATGGATGAGGCCTAAATGTGCCACAGACATCTCCCATGTTTGCTCAATCCCGACAATGCTAGCACAACTGTGTAATGTCTATCTATTGGAACATCTCCCTTATTAAACTATTAACATACTTTGGAAGATCTACATTAGGAAACTGCTGTAAGACGCATGCATGCAAAGCAGATGGTAGATCATAAAGCAAAGGTAGAAAACCTATTCCCTTGTCTGTGGCAGTCAGGAATGATGAGCTAGACTGGGTTACATGACAGATGTAAAGAACAGCTATTTGGTATAGTTCAACAACAAGAAAATACATCTATGAGCAGAAAGAATGCTTCTCCAGTCAGGTACATTAGTGTTCCTCATAGCAGCCAATGTGAGTAGCTGGAGAGTTTACCTGGCTCCACTCAACAATTGAAAAATCCAGCTTCTCAAGCTCTATTTAACAGGTAGTTTTGATGCAGAATGTGTCAAGAACCTCTAACATTTCAATCTAAAGATGGTAATGCATACATTTTGTGTGAAATGCATTAGAGGCAGAGCAGAGCTTCCGAGTGTGAATATCTTCAGACAGCAGAATGCATCCTGTGAACAATATATGCATAGAAAAGTACCAGTTTGTAGAAAAAAATAAGGTTTTCAGACATTAATGCCCTTCATTTGCACAAAATGCCAATCTGTTACAACCCATATCTTATGCATAAGAAATTGTTTTTCTCCTAATAATTATTACCTGTTAAACAAATTTGCTGACCCAGGTGGGATATTTCTCAGGGTGACTGAGCCTTTGCCAAAAGATGCAAATTTA